GTAGATAATACAACAACATGCTGAAGTTGTGATTTCCAGCTAAAACATGAATTACACAAAGTAAACATGTAGGAAGATGTAGATTTCCTATTATCTCTGGCACCAGTATAATTAGCATCAGTAAAACCTTTCAATTTTACTCCTTCAGTACTAAACTTATATATCAAGCCAGTATTACATGTTCCTTTCAAATATCTAAATAGCCATTTTAAAACTTCCCAATGTTTGGGACCGGGTTTAGACATATACCTGCTAAGTGTACTAACAGCAAAGGCTAAGTCAGTCTAATACACACCATTAGATACCTCACAGAACCAATGACATTTGTATATAGAATCCTTTTCATATATTCATCTTCCTCCTCATTATCAGGTGATTATTCTTTAGATAATGCAAAATGATTAGCTAAAGGCAATATAATAGGTTTGCATTCATTCAGGCTAAATTTTTTCAAAATTTTCATGATATATGAAGCTTGATGCAGACCTAGCTCTTTAAATTTCCATGCCTAAGATTCTTTTAACATTACCTAGATCTTTCATATCAAATTCATTACTTAAAGTAGTTTTTATATCATTTAAAAACTTCAAGTTGGGACCAATCAAAAGCATATCATCCACGTGGAACAACAAAAACACCCAATCATCAAATGAGTTTTGGTAATTCCCTCCTTAATTCTAAAATGAGTTTTGCTACATGTATACTGGGGTTGACATTCCGGTGTACACTCTCCTCCCATGGGGGATCCGAAGATTTTTTTTATTATCGTGGGGCCCATCCAGTTATGTGAGGATAATGTTCAACAGAGTGTCAACATTGGTGTACAAATAGCATTTTTCGCATCAAATTGTTCACTCCTTAAGAGTTCTTCATATATGTTTGGTTCCCTATCAACTAGTTCTTCATAACTAATATAAGCAAGTTCAAAATCAGACTCTAACATTTGAGACACCCTATATGTTCTTCTAACTCTATCTCTAACAAACTGGTAATCAGACAAAGTGTTTTTGCTCTCTTGATATTCCTCCATAACCTCATCTCTCTTAATATTTTTACTTTGATTATCTTGTTAATTCAAGATTTTGATGCTCCACCTCAATTGAGGTGGTGGGGGTTTGAGCACTTAAGGGCCTTGAATCTACTTGAGATTTGTCACTATTGTTTTCTTGCTTTTTTCTCTCAATGTGTCACTTTCTGATTTTAGACACGGCATTTCAGACTCATTAAATGTAACATCACGACTTATGATGATCTTAACTCCAGTTTGACTTCTATCCCAAGCCTATACCCTTTAACTCCTTCAGGGTATCCTAAGAAAACACATTTTCTAACTCTAGGTTCTAATTTTTCCTCATTTTGACGAGAGAAAGCAGCACATTCAAAAGTTTTTAACACAGTATAGTCAGTACATTTACCATACTATTTTTTTTTATGTGGAGTATCACCATTTAATGTAGTAGAATGTATCAAATTAATCAGTTAACACGCAGTCAAAACAGCTTCACCCCAAAAAGATTAAGGAATACCAGAACTCAACATCATAAATCTAACTTTGTCAAGTAAAGTACGATTCATACGTTCAGCCACCCCATTCAGTTGAGGTGTATAAGGAACATTTTTATGTCTAGTAATTTCACATTTTTCACACATTATCAACATCTTTATTACAAAATTGTAGGTCATATCAGTTCTTGAATATTTTATCTTTTTGCCAATTTGAGTTTCAACTTGCAATTTCCATATCTTGAAATTTTTAAAGGTTTCAGTTTTATTCTTTAATAGATAAACCCACGCCCTATGAGAATAATCATCAATTATGGACAAAAAATATCTATTACCACCTATTATAGGATTAGTAGCAGCCCCCATAAATTAGTATGAATATAGTCCAAAACTTTAGTAGTTTTGTGCATACCAGATGAAAAAAATGACTTATGATGTTTACCAAGGACACAGTGATCACAAAAAGGGATATTAGACACACAGTCTTTTCCAAATACACATTTGTCATTTAGTAGTTTAAGTCATTTAATACTTATGTGAGCTAATCTATTGTACCACTTGAGTGTGTCATCTGTGTTGGTCAAATTTATAAAGGAAGGTGAATGTTTAATAATTTCAGCAGTAGTCACATAAATACCCTTTTTTTAATACTTTTACATGTGATAAGAGCACCCTTAATCATTTTGGGCATGTTGTTTCCAATTTTACCAGAAAAACCATCGATTTCTAATGCTTCTACGGAAATAAGATTCCTAGCCATTTCGGGAATATATCCAACTCCATGTAATTTAAGCACATAACTAATGCCAAATTTTAACGCGATATCACCAATTCCAGCAATTTTATATACATGATTATTGCACAAAATAGCATGACCATTTTCAGATTCTTCAAATTTTCAAACCAGGCTTTATGTGATGAAACATGAAATGATGCGCCAAAATCCAGTATCCATTTATGTAAATGTGATTTCATAGTCAGATTTATTTCAGTAGATTCAGAGTTTAATAACATATAAACTTCACAACACTCATCAAAAGAAGTAATAACATTTGCCTCATCGTGAACCTTTTCTTTTTGTTTGTTTTTCTCAATATAACAATCTTTAATGAAATGTTCAGTTTTACCGTACCCATAGCATTTTCTACCTTTAAATTTACTTTTTAACCTAGATAGACTTCTACTTTTACTATCAGATGCGTATTCACTTTGGTTATCACGAGTCCTAGACTGAGACCTATTTCTCATCATAAGAACCTCGACACTTTTTCTCTCTATTCTCTCGGCTCGCATTTCCATATAAAGACTTGTTAAGAAGTCGATGACAATTTCAAGTGTTAAAGTATCTCTCCTGTATTTAATAGAATTTTTAACTTCTCTATAAGTGTGTTGGATAGTATTTAACAAAATGATTGCCTTATATTCTTCAGATACTTTCTCACCACAGTTAATGATATCTTGCACAAGTTTATTGAAGACATCCAAATTGTCATTCAAATCTTTTGAAGAATCGATTTTGAAGTTAAAAAAGCTTTCAAGTAGAAAATATTTGTTTGGAGTGGATTTAAACACGTAAAGCTCCTCCAATTTTTCCCAAAGTTCTTGAACTGATTTTAATTTACCCCCCTTTCTTAATACCGCGTCAAACAAATGTAAAATGATAGAAGTATATACCAATTCATGCAAATTCTCTTTTTCTTTTTTAGTATTCAAGTTTGTAGGAAAAAGTCATCAATAGCTTTAGAAACTTTTTATTGAACAAGAATACCTTTCATTTTTTGTTGTCAAATTGAAAAATCTCTTTTACCATTAAAGATACCCAACTCAAAGTGATGTGTCGACATTTCACCCAAAAATGTATAGAACACAAACTCAGATATGTAAAAGTTACAGGTCACACAAATTACATAGAATAACAAGATTCCTATGGTTTTACAATAATACACTATTCTAGAACCCCATGATTTCATGAGAATCACGTTCTCAGATCAAGGGGAGAAACTAGAATAGGAGTCTAGGTACAAGTCTAAAATAATATGAGATTAAATAACACGACAATGTTCAATAAATAAATCTAAAGACGACAAAGAATGACAAGTAATCATAGGTTCTACCAACAAGCAATTGTTGCCAAGCAATGACAACCCACAATCTTAATTATCACCCCACAAGATGATCTGCTAGTGCGATAATATAAAGGTTTCAGCCAATTTACTAGAACGGACATGTTTGTGTCTGTAAACTACGAGAGATGCGAATTTATTGCTTTAAGCTCGCGATTTTGGCTTAAAGTAATTTAGTAAATATATGTAGCAATTGCGACTATCGACCCATCAAGGGCAAAATCGTTCAACATTTTTGTGTAACCTAAAACATAAAACAAACTATATCAGTGCATTCAGGAGATCGAAATAAGCAAACTACCCGAAGGAAGCTAGCTGAAATTTTCCTCCACTCATCGTTGATCATTGCCAAAATCACGTGCTATCCTGTAAGAGGCACCTCTACCTACGGAGCTCAGATACGTGCTTAGATTTTTTGACAGATCAATGGTTTGGCTGAAATTTGTAATTTTCGATTCGACCCTTTTTGAAAAAACACGATTCAGCCGATTTTGCTTCGATTTCGATTTTTGGTCTGATTTTAGCCAGAAATTCCATCCCAACCTCGCTCTGATACCCATTGTTGATGCTAATTCCACTTACAATTGAACAAATCAACAATGTTAGTTATGGAATTAACTTGAAATCAAAATGAAAAAAGAAAAAAAAATTTCGATTTGAAGAACAATAAGTTCTCCTTTTGATTCGGCTCAGAAAAGTTCAATCCAACACCATAAAGGCAACACCACTTCAAGACTTTTTCAGTCATAGAGACAGAGGCACACAAAGGCAAAAACTGGGTTTCTTTTGCAATCATAGGAAGAAGCACACAAAGGCAGAAGCTAGATTTCAGAAATGCACAAAGCAGAGGCCCGTTTTGGTGTGTTGAAAGTGAGGCCAAGAGACTCCAATTTATAGGCAAAGGAAAAACAGATTTCCCAAGAAGAATCGACTAGATAGACTTCAAGAAAACTGAAAATGGTTGCCAAGGATAAGGATAATATAACCATTGCAACCATCTAAATCTCATGTGATTTCAAATTATCTCCAAAGTTGAGTATTGAGCACATAGCCCAATGGGTTGATTTCCTCTAAATACCAACATAATTGGGTTACATCAATTGTGGTGTGGATTTATAATATTCTTCAATCTTGGGCCTATAACCTATGAAGACAAACGAACCTCGATCTTTCATCATTACCTAAGGGTTACTTGGGCATCACTTATTAAAATACCCAACAAACTCAACTTTACCACCCCATTTTACTAATTGACTGACCCCGCTCTATCCTCCTTCCTCCAAAAAAAAAAAAAAATCCCTTAGTTTTTCCAGCAATTCTCTATGAATTGTGGAAGCCTTTTCCCTTTTCCCTTATGTTGTTTCCTCTTAGAAGATGATACTGTGGAAGTTGGGACCATCCCTGACAAATCTTGACGTGACGCTATCGACCAAATTGGCAGAAATTGAGAAATTGCTTAGTGAACTGGGAATGGTGAAATTGGTATATTCCATTGAAATTAATGAAGACCCATTGTTGTGATAGGTGGAGCATGAGGAGGGGTTGCCGGAATGGGTGGTCCACAACCATGGGCCCCATTACCGACCTCCAAAATTTGGAGGAGGAAGCAAACTGGTTTTTCGAATCAATTAGAGTTTTTTTTTTCTAGATTTTAGATATTCAAATGATCTGTGTGTAATTGATTGATGGGGAAGTGTTTTTGGGTTAAGCTCATCGGTGAGGGGAGCATTGTCCAATGGTTTATGCAGCGATTGGCTGGTGATTTAAGTATGGACCGTCGGTGGCTTTATTTACGAAGGGAGATTTCACAATTCACTTTTTTTAGATTTGATTTTTAATAATATATTTGTGACTCATTTTTAATTTTTTAGAAATTTGAGACTAAGGTTACAGTTCATTTTTTATTTTTTGTTTTATTTAAATAGTTTTGTCAATTTACAGCTTTTTAATTGAAAAAAATTAGGTGTGAACCTTTTTTCTTGGAACTGGACTAGAACCAAATAGAATCGGTCGATTTGATCCAGTTCTTCCGCTAAATAGGTCAACTCTGGGATCGTACATCAAGAATCGATCGGTTTCGATTCGATTCTCGATACTTTCTTGAGAACCATTAGTGAATTCGATTTTCCTTTTTTTTTTGCTCGCATCAAGATACACAAGATCTTTGAATACTATACCCCAAAATTATCTCATGTCAAAATTAAATTTTTCACACACTTCTTTTCCTTTCTTTAATGGGTATTCAAAATTTAAATTTAATTAATTTTATAAACACCTTAAGAATTGATAGTTTTAACGCAACCCAATAGAAAAAAAAAATATTTTTAATTCAATATTTCACAAGAATCGAAATTTCTCGTTGTTTTCAAAGTGATCGATCATTAAGAATCAAGATGCTGGAGAATTATTAAAGACAATCAGGTTACTGCTATATGGATTTTTGTAAGAATTAATTTTCAATCGAGATTTTAACATTTATGATGCGTTCCATAGTTTATTCCTTTTTTTTCACCTTTATGAATTGATTTTGAGTTTTGGAGTGAATTTTTGTTTGTTACCTTGTTCAATTGATTTTTTGTGTTAT